ATTAGGGGTCCCTCCTAAAATCCTTAGACATTAAATATGGCGTCAGACTTGCGGCGTCTGCTCAGGTGTTGGTAGAGCGCCACAACACGTCGACGGACAATCGCACGCCAAAAGGTGCCGAAGGGAACATGTGAGTAGTATTTTATTTGAGGATATTATGGTACCCATTATAGAGTAAGATCATTTTTTTTTTGGCGTATAGTATTTTATATAAGGCATAATACCTTACTGGGTTTAACCACCGAAAAAAACGCTACTCATGTGTTGAGCTAGCTCATTCTTACAGGTGAAAGCACAACAAACATAAACCCAAAATGGTAGCTTCCATTTTCTTTTCCATCATCCCTATATAACCCCAATATAACCCCGTTATAGCAGTTTCCATTTTCTTTTCCATTATTGATTTTGGGTGCCAAGAGGTGAAGTTGAGCTGGCGAAGACTGTCCTGGAAGATTTCTTGGCACCTAACCTCTCCAGCCGCAACAATTACGCCTTTGCCGCGCAGGAGCCTGGAATCGGAGTCTGAAGTTGCCTTTCTGCCCAGACGGGCGAAAGCACAACAAACGTAAACCCTAAATAGTAGCTTCCAATTTTCTTTTCCGTTATCCCTATATAACCCGAGTATAACCACATCATCGTAGTTTCCGTTTTCTTTTCCAATATCCCTTTAAAACCCCCTATATACAAAAAGGAGATTTTCCGGTGCTTGAAGCCTGGCGGGAGAGACCAGCAGCTCCTAGTCAAGCTGGAGCGAGAGGACAGCCGGCTTCGATCTTGTCTTTACCCCTAGGGATATAATATAGGGGTATCATATAGGGGTTATGTAGGGATAGTGGAAAATAAAATGGAAGTTAGTATTGTTACCCTCAACCCTAAACCCTATCTATATTGGGGTTGTATGAAACAGCATCGTTCCGGCCAACCTTCCATGTGTCCCTGCGGCGGCCCAAAGACATACAGCGGGTAGTGCAGTGCTGTTTAGGCAGCATGAATGTCGCAAAGTATAACCCCAATCTATGCCCTATTATAAAAAATTAGCTTCCTTTAGAATTTCTATTATCCTTATATAGCCCCTATATGATACCCCCATATATCTATGATACACCTATATTATACACCCCCCCGGCATTATATCCCTAAAGTCATGAAGAATTTTAGGATGTCAACTTTTCTTCAGCAGCCTCCAGTGCATCCAGGATGTTCGAGAGACTTTGCGCCTTTACATGAGCAGCTCGTATGAGCTTCCCGGCTGCTTCACCAGACGTTTGGATTTGCAAGCGTCGCGTTTAGGATTCAGAGTTTAGGGTTTGGGGTTCAGGGTTTAGGGTTCAGAGCTTGGGGTTTAACTAGTATATTTAATGGCTACCGCCAGTGC